GGACAGGAACACATTTTGGGTCACTTTTATATCCCCAGTGCCTAGAACAGCAGGTACTCAATAAATGTTTGCTTACATTGGATTCTATCTCACATAATAGATACAGACACAACAGGGGTATTCAGGTGTAACTTTAGGTCTTACCCCCAAAGTGGGCAAGAAGATTCCTGCCCCCTTTTTTTTTTTTTTAAGATTTTATTTATTTATTTGACAGAGAGTGACACAGAGAGAGAGGGAACACAAGCAGGGGGAGTGGGAGAGGGAGAAGCAGGCTTCCCGCCGAGCAGGGAGCCCGATGTGGGGCTCGATCCCAGGACCCTGGGATCATGACCTGAGCCAAAGGCAGACGCTTAACGACTGAGCCACCCAGGCGCCCTGATTCCTGCCCATTTTTACTTAGAAAATCAACACCTCTCCTCCATTGTTGATTTTCTTGCTTAAAGAGTTAAAAACAAAAACAAAACAAAAGTGATCGTAATAATTGCAGACTTTACATGGGGCGAGGGGGGGAACCAAGGAAGATCTTGGAAATAGAATTGTTTTCTAAGAATTACAGCACAAAGTACACCTTTCCCAGAAAGAATGGCTCCCAGGCCAAGGAAAGCCCAGTCAGTAATTGATTCTGTTAATGAATCTAGAAAGACCGTGTCCACTAGAAGGATGATTTGGGAGTGAAGCTAGGTAACAAGAAGCATAACAGTAAAATAATAATAGTTTACATTTTTTGTACGATCACTGGTGTCTAGAATTATGCCAAGAGCTTTACTTGCATTTTCCTGTTTAATCCTGTGTGAAGTACAATTATCATCCTATCTCATAGAGAAGAAATCTGCAGTTGTTATAATTCACCCAAGATCACACAACTAATAAAGAGCCTAGATAAGATTAAAATCCTGGACAATCTGACTCTAGCATCTAGAGAGGGCAATATTAAACATTTAAGTTATATAATTTACATCTCTTAATCTAATCAACAGCTCACCAAGCTTTCTAGTAATTTGGCTTCCCAGGAGGCTCTCCTGTAGGGAAAGAACATGCCTTTTGCCAGCACAAGGACACTGGTCCACTTGCCAGTTAGTAAAGCAGCCCTCTGCTTATCCATCAAGCTCCTGTGAACCCGACAAGTCCCTAAGGAAGGAATACACTCTTACGATACAGACTACATTTCTTGTCCTGCCCATGAGGCTGAGGACTAGATCCTGGAACATGGTGACTTCACGCTGCCATGTGGTAAGCTGACAGCCCCAGCTGATAATGCCCTGGACTCCTGTGGACTACAAACCGTAGAGTTCATGAGAAGAATTCTTCCTTAAATCACAGAGTGGTTTTAAATCACCACAGTTCTCATTGGTGAGGTAGTCTGGAGTAGTACTGCAGGGAACAAATCTGTCTTTATTTTTATTTTCCTAGTGGTTTCACAGGCTCTCATCATATTACCTTTTGCTCTCAGCTTGTTTCTGTCCAGCCTGAAGCATCCTATCCTTTTGGTTTGGCTCTCCATTTCTTGGTCTTTGGAGTCATTTCCATGAAATAGGACATATCCCTGTTTCCTACAAGGAGAAGAAAACATTTCCTCTTGTTCCTTTCTAGTGATCCTCAGCATTTTCTCAGCCCTGGGTCAGAATAGCACCTGGGATCTTTGTCTTCAGAAAGCAGGCTCCAAGGCCACTTGGACCCCACTCTTGGCTTCTAACTGATGCTTCAGAGGTCATACAATTGATAGTTTTTTTTTTAAAGATTTATTTATTAGAGAGTGCGAGCAGGCATGGGGGGAGGGGCAGAGAATCTTCAAGCTGACTTCCCACTTAGCATAGAACCCCGTGCAGGCTCGATCTTGGGACTCATGAGATTACCACCTGAGCGGAAACCAAGAGTCAGACGCCCAACCGACTGAGGCACCTGGGAACCCCTAAAGATTTACTTTCAAGTAATCTCTACACCCAGTGTGGGGCTCCAGCTTTCAACCCTGAGATCAAGAGTCACACACTCTACTAACTGAGCCAACGAGGCGCCCTTGATATAGTTGTTATAAATATAGTTGTCTTAGGCTGCTATAACAAAATACCACTGGCTGGGTGGCTTATAAACAACAAATTTATTGCTCACAGTTCTGGAGGCTGGGTAGTCCAAGATCAAGGTACCAACATGGTTGCTTTCTAATGAAGGCCCCCTTCTTGGTTCATAGCCGTTGCCTTCTGGATATGTCCTTAACATGGTGGAAGGGACTAGGGATCTCTATTAAGCCTCTTTGACAAGGAATTTACTCTATTTATGAGGGTTCCACCCTCATGACTTAGGTACCTCCTAAAGGCCCCACCTACTAATACCATCATATTGAGCATTAGGATTTCAAATATGAATTTTGAGAGGGACACAAATATTCAGGCCATAGCAGCTGTAAATATCATTGTAAATATAGTTGAAGTTTTTTCCATCTAAATACACTGACTTATATTTGCCCCTATTAAAGCTTTAGAAGACACTTATAGCTTACTCTTAAAGACAAGGAAGATGGTTTGAAGTAAAGTCTTACGGAAAGTTTATTAATCAGATTATTAAAGGTGCCACAAAGAAAAAGAAGCTAAGAATTTAAGTGCAAGTCACCCTTGTTGTTCCCAGTACATAGTTTCTAGGTATACCAGGAGGTGTTTGGGGTGGAGGGCTGAAGAAAATGCAAGATGCAAATATTCCAGAGGTATCTGGTAATTTCCACTAAGTTTGCCTTTATTTTTGAGTCCTCGGGTATACATAAGAGATAAATGGGATCATTTGGTTTCTAGAAAAAGGGGTCACATGTAAATTTTTCAAATATTCACACATTTCTAGAATATTAAGTGATTAATGAGGCAAGTACCTGAGATTAGGAACCAGAAAACTTGGGCCCTGGTGTTGAGAAACCAAATTATCTCTTTCATGCATGTCTGTACCCAAGCAGCTGAATATTGCTGGAAAAAAAACCACATACTAGGCCAACTGGGTTAACTTTAAATTCATGATCACAAACTTCAAATAGGTACCCAATGCTGCCAAGGCAGTCCTACTAGGAAGGTTGTACGCTTGCTCCCCCTACCCTCACCAGCATTTGCGTCAATCTTCACCTTTATTACCCTAATTATCACAATGGAAGCATCCTGTTTCTATCCAAGGTTAGTCCTCCTAGTTTCCTTATATCCTCTCATGGATTTCACTCTGGTATAGGTCAAGCAAGCCTTCTCTCTCCTGTATCACTCCCAATGGCACATAAACATGCTCCAGAACCCTACCATGTTTTAAAACATCTCTTCCCTTGAGCCCATATCTTTCCACAGTTATAACTAAATTTCTTTGCTCCCTTCACAGCAAAACTTCTCACATTGCCTACGTGTGCTGTCTCTATTTCCTTACTTTTCCATTCATTCTCAACCCATTCTAGTGAGGTCCAAGTCTCAATTTACCAACATGAATCAAGTCAAATTCGCCAATGATATTCTCCATTGAATTCCAAGGTGACCAATCCAAAAGCCATGTCTCTGGCCCAAATTGACCTCTCAGCAGCACTAGACACAGTTGACCACTCCCCCCTACGGAAACCTTCTCTGCCCATGGATTCCAAATTCAACACGCTTGTGGATTTTTTTCTGTCTTCCTGGCTGCCCCCTTTCAGTTTCCTTCTCCGTTATCCTATTTCTAAATGCTGGAGTGTCTAGGATCTGGCCTTGAAATTTCTCTTCACTCTTTCCTCCAAGTGATAGCCCACACACATATATATGGTTTAATCAGCTCATACAGTTTAAAAACACCTGAGTTGCTAACATCTAAGTACCTGAAGATTTTACATTACAAAAATCTAGATTTCTGATTCCCTTTTTCAACAAAACCCCGAGAAAATGTCAATATTGGACTGGCATCCTCATAATGGAACAATCAGCTGAATGGAGCAAAAACTGTCTCCTTGATGCTGGGTCCGTTTGTTGTCCGTGACATCTAAGGTATGGTATGGGAGTTCAGAATACAGTCCTGAGTCAGATTCCCGTAAGTACCAAAGGCTCTCCTATCTGGGTCACCAGAACATCTTCCAGTCTGCGGTCGGTGAACTTCATCGCTGGTTGGGTAGAATCCGCAGGTGCTTCCTGGGGAGGGGGAGGGACGACCGCACTGTAGGGCTGAAGGACGCCGCCCACAGAGAACTTAACTCTCGAGCAGAGACAAGAAATGTACGTTTTAAAATACAGCATTAAATCACGCCAAATAAAGTCGTTTTGGCAAAAGACCGGTACGGTGGTGTATAAGCATCACATCTGGTCTTCCGTTGGCCTTTCTTGGCTGAAGTGGCCTGGTGACACCAAGGGGAAGCCCATGCCTTCTCTTGCACCCGGTTTTAGGAGGCGGAGAGATCCCTCAAAAGCCGCTGGGCAAGGACAACCCTTCTCGCCCTCTCTCGCGGGCGCTGTACAGTTCTGAGGAGCTGGGAGTGTGCGGGGACCAGCCCGGCCTTAACACCGTGGCTGGCAGTGGTGGGGAGCTGGGAGGGAGGGTCCGGCCCGGCTAGGGCGGAGACTTGGGCGGGGCCCGGCCCAAGAACCGCCTCTGCTCCACCAACTAGCCCGGCGCGCGCTTCCTCCAAACACCCTCCCTCCCACCCCCAACCCCCCTTTACGGGTTCAGGGCGGGAGACTGCGGCTAGAGAACCAGGTCAAACAAGCCTGGGATCCTGTACTGCCCAGAGGCGGCGGCCTCCGCCCAGGAAGCCCCACCCAGCGGGAGCCCGGACGTCGCGGCGCCCGCAGAGCCCACGCGCGACCGGGCGAGGGCGCGGGAGGGCGCGTGCGGCGTGACGCGACTCGCGGCGCGTCCCGTGACGCCATCGCGCCCGCTTTTGAAAGTTGGCGCCCGGGGCCGCCTCCCATGCTGCCCTGCGCCAACCCCTCCCCTCACCTTTCCTCCCCCGCCCTCCACTCGTCGCCCGGCCGGCCCCCCCACCCGTCCCTTCCCTTATCAGCACCCGCGGCCCCGGCAGCGCCGACGCAGGCGCACTGCACCGCGCCGCCGCCATTTTGTGCCCGAGCCTGTGGAGCGATTAAACCGTGCGCGGAGCTGCTTCTTTGGCGGCAGCGGCGGTGGCGGTAGCCGGTGCGGGTGCGCGGAGCTGGCCGGGGACGCCGGGTGGCCGGAGCGGTGGAGCGGCGGCGGAGCGGGCGCTGCAGGGGGTGTGGCGCGGAGGTAAGGGGGCCCGGGGTGGAGGAGGTTTCGCGGGCCGCCTCTAGGTGTCACGATGGGGCCGCTCCGGTCGGCGCTGGCTGCAGCCCGGCGCCAGCGCCGCCGCCGGGGGGTGTTTGTCTCCCTCTACCGTCCCTGCTGCGGCGCGGCCGCCGCCATTGCCCGTCGCCGCCGCGGCCCGGCCGCCCCCCCCCCCACACCCTCCCGCTAGGCCTCCCTCCTGGCGGCGCGCTAGGCCTCCGGCGGCGGCGGCGGCAACAGAGGCCCGCGCGCCGGCGACTCCATTTTCCTTCCTTTGTCTCTGCCCTCGAGGCCGGCTCTTGGCCCGACTGATTGCCCGGCCGCGGCCCGCCCTCTGCCCTCCGCCCCTCCCGCGGCGGGTGGCCGCAGCCGAAAGGCGATCTCCGTGTCCCGGCTCCCGCGCCCGCCTTGCTGTAGGGTCCGGACCCACTGCCGCCGCGCGCGCAGCTCGGTTTCCGTGTAGTATGGGTGTCGGGCCCTGGCCGACGCCTCTCGGGCTGCCCCTCCTCCAGCCTGCCCGGTCCCCGGAACCTACCCGGCCACTCTGCGAGCATACCCCTGCCGCTCGGCTGCTTGGCGGTCGCTCCCAGTCCGCGCGCCGCCGCCGCTGGTCTCCGTCTCCGCCGAGTGGCGCAGGCGGCGCTGCTGCGGCTGCGAGCAGAGGGACCCCAGAGCTGCCGAGAGCTCCCTCTGCAAGGCTGGCTGAGCTGCTCGCGCCTCGACGCTGCCTGAGCGGGCGGGGGGACGCGCGCTCGCCGCCCCCGCCGGGCCCCGCTGCGCCCCCAAACTCGCGGCGGGGCTCCTCGTTGGACCTGACCGGTGCGGTCCCCCACGGTGGGCGGAAGAGACTCGAGTTCCGCACCAAGTAGTTTTTCTACAGCCAGGGTCGGACTCCCCTTGTAGTGATAGCCTGACTTTGTGCGCTAAGAGATCTCAAAGGGATAAAACTTAATTTCGTTCTGATCTCAAGTGACGTGACAAATTCCTGAATTCGGGATTATGGGCTGGCTAAGTTGGTTCAGGCGACCCTTCAGTTTCCTTCCCGCTTTAAAATGTCCTTACGCTAACTTAGTACAGTATTTAGTACCTGATGCTTTAGGGCTAGACGAAGGCAGTTCTGCCCCGGGATTGTGCAACCCGATCTAAAGCGTCAGTAGGGCAGAATGAATTTATTCTTGACTCCACTGGTAATTTGCCCATACGCTGAAATATGAGGGTTGATGTTGTAATTGAATCCTGGGTCACTAGTTGCAGTTGGTTTATAAATATCTACGCCTAATGTAACTACTCTTTAGTAGCTAACTTCCTGTAGCCCAGAGTGCAGCATTAAGTAAACATTCGCATACGTAGTCTTCATGCTTTGAGTTTAAATCAACTAGGAAAGTTAAAAATCTACGTCCCCTATAGGCGGTAAAAGTTAAACAGGGCATGTATATTAAATTTACTGTCCTTAACTGTCTTCTTGAATGATTAAAAAGCTTCCTGTTGGATTGCCATAGTTTTTTATTTTCCTGAAGTGTTCTAGTACTTTAATACAGTATCGTGCAGTAGTTGATGTGTCAGCTCGGGTTGCTTTGGGGAGAGGAAGGTTTTGATTAACTTTTTTTTTTTTTTTTTAAAGCTATGTTAAGCGTATGAGGAAATTAAAACAGCCTGGTGCTAAGCAAAGTTGTCGGGTCTGCTGTGTGTAATCTCAATCTGTAGGATTTTGCAGGAATCTGCCTCTATAGTTCAGCGTCTCTTTTTTGAACCCTACAAAACGTTCCTTCTCCCCCCTCCTCTCCAGTAAAAGTAAAATTGCACTAACAAATGCAGTAGTGTTGATGAAGTGTTAGGTTTGGGAATAGAACCATGCTTAATTGTCGAATAAATTAGTCCATTTGTGTAATTTTTTGCATTTCTTGAGATTTTTGGTTTTATTTTCCTTTTGACATTGTGGATGGCAGGTGGTCTGTTTTACTTATAAAAATAAGCTCTGTTCGGGTTAAAGATTAAAATCCAGAAGATCTGTAATTGATCCAGGGGCAAAGCTTGTTTTCCCTGGTTAGTGTTGTGCTCCACAGACCATGTTTTGTTTCTTCATTCAGTTCTGCCCTATGCAGTCATCATCTTCTTGGTCTTTCATATCATTTATGCTGTTTTAATGGTAATAGACTTTGTCTACAGAGTTGCTATTCTTTGAGGTTTCCTGTATTCCAGGATTCATACTTTATTGGAAAATGAAATCTACAGAGAATAAATTGAGGATATAAAGTTACGCAAAGGAACTTATTACTTAAATCAGTAACATGAGAAAGATTACAACAGGAATCTTTGCCCACTTAAGAAAATACTGCTTATTCAAGAGGAATTGTAAAAGTCATCCTTAGGGGTCTATTCAACCAACGTAAGAAAATTTAGAAGTTGTAAAAGTCATTCTTAAGGTGCATTCCAATTCTTTTTTTTTTTTTTTTTTTAATTCATTTGAGACAGAGAGATACAGAGAGCGAGCGCGAGAGCATGAGCAGGGGAGAGACAGAGGGCGAGGGAGAAGCAGGCTCCCCGCCGAGCCAGGAGCCAGACATGGGGCTCGATCCCAGAACCCTGGGATCATGACCTGAGCCGAAGGCAGATGCTTAACCATCTGAGCCACCCAGATGCCCCAAGATGCGTTCCAGTTCTAAGAGCGTTAGGATTTTGCTTTAAACAACAGGCAAAATGAGGGAGATCTTTGGGAGTACAGAGGCCACCTGTGGCTGACTAGGGCCTCAAGGAGGAGTCCTGTGGCAGAGCCTTGCACAGTGGTGCCTGCTGGCAAAAAGTCTCCTCTAGAGACTGTTTTGTTTTGTTTTTGTTTTTTTGGGTTTTTTTTAAGATTTTATTTATTTATTAGAGAGCGAGCGAGAGAGAAACAGCATGAGAGGGGAGAAGGATGCGGGACTCGATCCCAGGACCCTGGGATCATGACCTGAGCCGAAGGCAGTCGCTTAACCAACTGAGCCACCCAGGCGCCCTAGAGACTGTTTTGTTTTGTTTTGCTTTAGGGATGGTGCTGGCGTCAAATTCACTCCCCATCATCCATTTTATAGCCTCCATTTCATTTTTTAAGACCAGAAATTTAGTTGATCATCTATCTACCTTATTTACCTATCTTGGTCCCAGATGACTTCAGGCTCTTTTGCCAGAAATTGGGTCCCTCTTCAAACAACTAAAATTTGTCATAATTTAATACTTCGAGAAAGATCATACAGCTTTGGAAAGAACAATAATGGCAAATAATGTGTAACCTTGAAGACCCTGGTTTGCAATTGGATGTGTGGATTTGGCATACCATATTTGTTTTTCTAAACATCCCTAAACTTTGTCTAGTCACTATCTTCAAATCTTCCCTGGCAGTATCTTTGTGCATTTTCTTAGTGATTAGTATTTGAGTGCAAAGATGGAACAATGCGTATAGACTGCTAATATATACACCAAGAATAGTGATTTTTTCCATACTTGATCTTCATTTTTATTCATCCTTAGAATAGTGAGGTACATAAAATCTCATCTCCTTTGAGGCATGCTAGTAACAATATATGGACTCCAATACAAAAGTGTTTCTTGGACTAGATACACTAATCCTCAATTCAAGTTGTAAATTGCCTCTTAGAGAAGACTTCTTTAGCTTCATCTAAGAAAATATATCAGCTTGGTTTTATGGGCTTTAGTTAATTATGAGATGGATTCCCTCCTAGTTTTACCTGATATGCCAGATTCTTTGGAAACTTTTTTTTTTTTTTTAAGATTTTATTTATTTATTTGACTGAGAGAGATAGATAGCGAGAGCAGGAACACAAGCAGGGGGAGTGGGAGAGGGAGAAGCAGGCTTCCCACCGAGCAGGGAGCCCAATGCTGGGCTCGATCCCAGAACCCTGGGATCATTACCTGAGCTGAAGGCAGACGCTTAACAACTGAGCCACCCAGCTGCCCCTGTTTGGATACTCTTAACTCAATTTTAGCACTTTAATTTCACTTGTGAGTCTTCCTTCCTTCCCTTCCTTCCCTTCCTTCCTAAAAGTTCCACTCTACTGTTGCCTGAAGCTTGAAGCTTGACAGTTCATTTATTTGTAATTTAAGGAGGAAAATGACAGCTAACAAAGTATTTCATTGCTATGCTTCTAGGAATTTTCAAGTCAGTGAAAGCTCTCTCCATAGTTATCTTAATTAAACTGAAAAATGCAGTCTTGTGGTGTAAACTACCTTAATCAGTAAAGTCACTACTTGCTGAAGATAAGGAAATGATACTGTTAAAGGACTATTACTATATAAGAATTAATTTTTTGTCAGCTTGAATATACATACATGTGCCATTATCTGCTTGCAAGATCATAATGGTGTACCTTTTCTTTTAAGATTTGATTTTTTTTTTTTTAATACTCTTTATACCCAACTTGGGGCTCAAACCCAGAACCCTGAGATCAAGAGTCACGTGCTCCACCAACTGAACCAGCCAGGCACCCCACTGGGGTACTGTTCTGATAACTACAGATCCTTTATATATTAAGCAAATGTCTAAAAAATAAGTGTGAGTGTTTTATTGGCTTGATAGAATTTATGGAATGCCTCATTTAGTAATGTGATCTGTTAACAAGTATATTGTTTCTTAACCAATTTTATCAGTTTTCATCTTACCCTCATTTTGCTTTTCATATTATATGTGCATTTGTGTATATTTGGTATTCATAAAATTATTTGTGTTTCTGTTTTAGAATGATCACACATCTGGAGCCAAAGAACAAGATGCACTAGTGGACAGATTGCTAACCAGGGGCTTGAGAGTTCTGTTTTCCCTCCTCAAACTGACTTTGCAGTCACGGAGAGGTAAATGCTCTTTCCATTTCTTGGTCTCAAAAATGGGAGTAGTACATCCTTTCTGGGGTTGGAGGATTTGCTATATTGTTCTTGGGTATAGGAGATGGAGGACAGTGGGTGATTGAGGGCATACAGGTTTTATAGTTAGAGTCCTTGGTTTGGAACTGTATTGCCATATACTAGCTGGGTGACACTGAGCAAGTTACTTAACCTTTCTACTCCTACAGTCCCCATTTGTTAGAGAACAACACCAGTTACAGAGGCTGTTCTCCAAGTTGATGAGAATGTGTGTAAAGCATTAAGTACCATTCTGAGTGTGTACATAGAAAGACCCCAGGAAATGGTTGTTTTTCTGCAGAAACCCTTGGAATATATTTTTTAACTATTGGCAAATGACCTCAAAGTCCACGGCCTAGGGCAATTTGAAATTTTGATGGAATCCTGTTCTTGGGGAGACATCTTAGATAAAAGTTGTCTTAGTTAACTTGAGTTAGCCTAGCTGATGACCCATTTTTCCATCAGTTATAGTCATTACGAATAAATTTTAAAAATGTTTTAAAGTGTCACTTAAAATTTACTGTAGCCTACAATGTCTGTTATAAAATATAATGGACATCATAGGGAGCTTGAAACAGGCCTTATAAACGTTGAGATATACTAAGCTTTGGAATCTCATAAACAACAAAGTAGGTTTCTGGGTAGGAAAATTATCTCTTCTCAGGCTATCAGAAAGCACATGTTTCTTATCCCCTAGAAAATGTGAAAATGTTTTAAAAATGTGAAAATAGTTTAATTGCACTTGTGTAACGGCAAAAGAGAGGTGGGAATTAGAAATGCTGACATTAGATAAGCTTGTGTGAATGAATCATCTAAGTGATGACTACTAAGATTTTTCTTAAAAGCTGGGCCTGGAGCAAATAGGAGGAAGGGAACAGGAGTGAAATCTCTACTATTCTTCATCTCTTTTCCATGGGCAGCTTGGTACATTGATAGATGGGAAGGACAAGGTCTATGTGCTATTATTCTGTCACTCCAGAAATATTTTGTACGCTGCAGGTTTTTTTTTAGGAGTGTTGACACAGAGTACATATTAATGAGTGCTGAAAAGAAAATACTGATTTGGAAAGCTGTTGAGAAAACTAGCCATAAGAGTTTGGGGAATGGGATTGTTAGGAACATGTTGGTCACTTTTAAGTGTTATGGCTATTTAATTGTTTAGATCCCTGTTTCTCAAACTGGGATATGAATACCCTTAGGGTACAAAGTGGTATGATTCCGGGGTACTTGAAGTCACAAGATAAACATGACCCATCTTCTTGGAGCTTCAATTGTGCTCATTGAGGGGGCGGTGAGTTAAGTAATTTGACTGGTAAGTAATTTTTAAATTTTTACATTAAAACAAATACATATTTTAGCATCAGAATGGGAACTCTGTATGACTAAGATAACACAGGTTTTCAACAAAGTGGGTCATGAGTACCTGGGAATAAGAATTGCTTTTTGTATAGGTACTATAATGGAAATACTTTTACTTTAGTATTCGAGAAGCAGTACTTTTGAGCTATAGAACAGCTCTACCATCCAGCTCCTTACTTTGTTTGCTGTAGTATCCTACTATGGAATATAGATGTTAAATTGTATTAAATGGTGCTTGTTAGCTTGCGTGCATGTTCTTGCACATGTCTAACATGCACAAGAGCTCTGCACAGATTGGTAGGCAGTTTCTAGATGGCTGGACCAAGTCAGAAATACTAAGACCATTCCAGTGACCTAAGAATTATAATTTTTAAATAAAGCAATGAGCAAAATCAGATCTAAAATTGTAAGTTCTACAGAAGAGAATTTTGAAAGCAAATGTCACATTAACGTGAGTATAATTAACAGTTTATACTGATTTTGTTACCTCCCCCATTCAAGTTGTTATGTAATCAGAGTCGTAATAAAATGGCTAAGTCTTAAGCTGGTAGACCTTGTGACTCCTAAGACAATTATTCAGAAGCATCTAAACTGTTTTGTGTGTTTTAGAATTACTAAGTATTGTTATGTGTATTGCTCTTTTTTTTTTTTTAAAGATTTTATTTATTTATTTGAGAGAGAGAGCACGAGAGGGGGTTGGGTCAGAGGGAGAAGCAGACTCCCTGCTGAGCAGGGAGCCCGATGCAGGACTCGATCCAGGAACTCCAGGATCATGACCTGAGCCGACGGCAGTCGCTTAATCAGCTGAGCCACCTAGGTGCCCTAGTGTATTGCTCTTAATATAAGTGGCACTTAAGAATTATATTTTCTATATTGATAATATCTATTCTTTGAATACAAGTTTTATATTTGAACCTGATTTGTTTTAGATACAATGGAGTGTGACTTTCTCTGAAACATACTTGAATTGGATCAACCAGATGTTTAGATGTGCTCTAAATATTTACAGTATTTATTGAACACTTGTAATGTGTTCTTTCCATTCTTTGAGCACTTGCCTTTCTACTTTATGTCAGGTACTGCATTAGGTACTGGGTATTTGAAGATGAATAAGAAAAAGATTGTTTTCCAGGGTGTTGAGTATGGGGCAAGGAATCAGTCATTAAGTGTTATTTGTGCTCTGATAAAAGTGTGTTTCGAATGCAGGGAGGATAGTTGCAGGAGTTGGTGAAAGATGTTGAGAAAGGCTTTCTGGAGGAGAAACCCTGATGTAGGTGTATGAGGAAATTCAAAAGGAACATAAAATTTGATTTTAATCCTATTAGGGCACCAAGGTTTAGTCAGTGCAGCTGAATAGCTGTAGGGCCTTGGGCAAGTCCATTAGGGGTGACTTCCTTGTGCCTTCCTTTTCCCATTGATAAAATGACAGGCTTATGGCAGTTAAATGTATTGTTGGGGGGAAATATATATATTTGTAACACTATAATGTGCTATGTAGAAGTAAAGTGATAATCTTTAGACTTTAGAATAGTTGGTCATTGTAGGGGTGCCTGGGTGGCTTAGTCATTAAGTGTCTGCCTTCGGCTCAGGTCATGATCCCAGGGTCCTGGGACTGAGCCCCACATCGGGCTTCCTGCTCTGCGGGAAGCCTGCTTCTCCTACTCCCCCTGCTTGTGTTCCCTCTCTCACTGTGTCTCTTTCTGTCAAATAAATAAATAAAATCTTAAAAAAAAAAAAATAGTTGGTCATTGTATATATTTTGTATTAAGCTACAGTGATGACTACCAGACTGTACAAAAATTACATGAACCAAGTAAATTGGGACTTTGTGGATGAGAAAATTACATTAATCAAAATCTGTTGAGCAGTAGAGAAATGGATAAATAAATAGGGCCACACCCATGTTGGGAGTGATGCTTGACAACCACAAAAAGAAATTGATTGGGGATACTATTAACCAGCAAAATGCTTATGAAGTTGTTTTTTTTTGTGATATAATACAAAAAAATAGTTATGGAATAAAACTAAAGATAAAAAACAAAAACCTCGCACATAGCAAGAACTCAGGGAGTAGGGGCACCTTGGTGGCTCATTTGGTTGAGCATCTGCCTTCAGCTTAGGTCATGATCTCGGTCCTGGGATAGAGTCCTACGTTGGGCTCCCTGTTCAGCGGGAGCCTGTTTCTCCCTCTCCCTATCACTCCCCCACTTGTGCTGTCTGTCAAATAAATAAAATTTTTAAAAAAAAAAAAAAGAACTCAGTAATTGAATGAATGGATGCCTAGGAAAAAGACTAAACAGACATCAAAACACTGGTCAAAATAAAATAAAAAACTAATAGTGCAGGGGCGCCTGGGTGGCTCAGTCATTAAGCGTCTGCCTTCAGCTCAGGTCATGATCCCAGGGTCCTGGGATCGAGCCCCGCATCGGGCTCCCTGCTCAGCGGGAAGCCTGCTTCTCCCTCTCCCTCTCCCCCTGCTTGTGTTCCCTCTCTTGCTGTGTCTCTCTCTGTCAAATAAATAAATAAAATCTTAAAAAAAAAAAAGCTAGTAGTGCAAGGGTGGCTAGGTCTGGGGTAACTTCCTGGTTTTCTGTAGTTTGTATAACATCTTGTAGCGCAAATAAATTTTTCTGGGGTTTTTGTTTGTTGTTTTAAATAAAGTAGAATTACCAGAATTTGGGAATGACCATATTCAAAAATGGGGGAGTGATTAAATTATCAATATCTGTATAATAGGATGTCATGCAACTATTGTATTATGTATAGTAACATACTGAAAGGTAGATCTGAGATGTATTATATAAAGCAGATTATCAAATAGTATGTACAAATACGTGTGTGTGTATAAGGAGGGGACTGTGGATATAAACCAAAATGTTTATATAAAACCTATAGGGGTGCCAGGGTGTCTCAGTGCGTTAAGCGTCTGCCTTCAGCTCAGGTCATGATCCCAGGGTCCTGGGTTCGAGCCCCATGTCCGGCTCCCTGCTCAGTGGGAAGTCGGCTTCTCCTTCTGCCCCGCCCCCCACTCATGCTCTCTAGCACTCACTCTCTCAAATAAACATATAAGATCTTTAAAAAGATAATACAGGGATGCCAGGGTGACTCTGTCAGTTAGGTGTCTGCCTTCGGCTCAGGTCATGATCCCAGGGTCTTGGGATCGAGCCCCGCATCGGGCTCCCTGCTCAGCCGGGAGCCTGCTTCTCCCTCTGCCCGCTGCTCCCCCTGCTTGTGCCACCTCTCTCTGACAAAAGAGATAAATGGAATCTTTTTTTTTATTTGACAGAGACACAGCGAGAGAGGGAACACAAGGAGGGGGAGTGGGAGAGGGAGAAGCGGGCCTCCCTCTGAACAGGGAGCCCGAAGCGGGGCTCGATCCCAGGACCCTAGGATCACGACCTGAGCCGAAGGCAGACGCTTAACGACTGAGCCACTCAGGTGCCCCGATAAATGGAATCTTTAAAAAAATAAAATAAAATAAAACCTATAGATGTATATTCTTGGTTATCTGAATTTTCTCGTATTTACATATATAATTTTTTTTTTGAAGATTTTATTTATTTGTCGAGAGAGAATGAGAGAGAGCAAGCACA